CTTTCACAGGGGTCGCCTAAGACCATCGGAAAACACATATATAATTACATATTGTTTTTGTGATTAATCACTATGCTTTAATTATGTTCAATTTGTAACAATGAAAATACATCCTGCATATCAGATATTTACATTACGATTCATAACAGTAACAAAATTACAGTTATGAAGTAGCAACGAAAATAATTTTATGGTTGGGGGTCACCACAACATGAGGAACTGTATTAAAGGGTCGTGGCACTAGGAAGGTTGAGAACCACTGCATTAAAAGATCTTGCCTGGGAAGTATTAACCCACCCGAGTATTTACCAGACCTTGCTCTTTCAGATTACCATTTGTTCCGATCAATGGCAAATGCACTTTCTGAGCAGCACTTCAAAACATAAGAAGAAGTGGAAAATTGGGTCTCTGAATGGTTTGCCTCAAAACAAGAAAAGTTCTATTGGGACGGTACCCACAAATTACCTGAAAGATGGGGGAAATGTGTAGCTAGCGATGGACATTACTTTGAATAGATATTCTAATGTTCTAAGTATTTGAGCATACATCTCTAAAAATTTAGAACACTTTTTAAGTAGATAAAGATAACATTATCATGATAATAAAGTTAATGAAAATTGCTTAATTTCATCTAGTGACCAGTTTACATTAAAATTTCTCTATTTTCCCTAAAACATCCTTTATAGCTCATTTGTTCAAACCAGAATCTATTCCCAGACCTTGCATCTAGTATTAATTCCTTCAGTCTCTTTTACGTCAGAACAGTCCTGTTTTTATTTTTCCTGAAGAGACTAAAGTAGTTTTCATGAGATGGATTTTTCTAGAACTTCTTTGAAAGGAAACATTTGTCTTACACTCATTTTTGTTAGTGTTTTAATATTTTTATGTCAAAAGTTCTAAAATGATTAGACAATTTGTATTTAGTGCATTAGCAAAGTTTAGGATTTGTCTTGAGGCTAGAATTAGTATAGGATTGATTTTTAGTTAATGTCTTGAAAAGTTGACTCACTGTTGCTTTGGCCAACATCACTTTACCTATATAGAAGGAAAGCTCATTGTGTTGCAAAACAATTAGAAGCAAACAAACAAAACACCAACCCTGACATGTAACATCACAGAATCTCACAGGCATCTGTAGATGCACTGGCATATACCTGACTCGTGATGTGTCACTCGGTCTCCCAAAGGTATGATTGCTTTCTTAGCACCTGTTACTTGTTCGGATGCTTTAATGGCTTTGGCTCTGCCAAGATGTCGCCATTTATCACCTTTGCCCAGGAGTCCCTCCTAACCTCCTCCCCCATCCCCTGAAAAAAAATTTTATCAGGGGATACCATGAGTCCCATTTTTGCTCTGAGGTGCCAGTGTTGACTGTAGTGGAGTTCCCTGCACTTGTCTCAGCTCACTTTTGTTCCTTACAAGGAGGAGGAACTGAGTGCAAGTCCCCATAGCTGGTTGCTAGATTCATAGCTCCCCCAATAGATTTCTCTGGCCTTTTCTTCTGCTCCGTGTCCCCAGTGGTTTTCTAAGCACATTTTTAGTGCCTTTTTTGTCAGTTCAAAACACCCAGCCCCAGTGATGGGTATTTAGGGTCAGGTGTTGGGGTGTTTCATCAGGGGCCTCCAGGAAGAGGCCTCAGCAGACTGACCCCTTGGCTCTTATCAAACTCTGCCTGAAAACAAGTCACTGGGTAGTCTTATATTACACATTACTATTTGGGGTAAAAAGTGTTTTCCTTTTTTAAGATCTACCACTCTTGAGAAGGAAGTTCCTGTCATCTTCATTCACCCTTTAAACACTGGATTATTCCGGATAAAAATTCAAGGAGCCACTGGAAAATTTAACATGGTCATCCCTCTTGTGGATGGGATGATCGTCAGCAGGCGAGCACTCGGTAAGGTCTTCACATGTGGTTGAAGGGTTGTCGTGTCTTTTTTTAAAATATATTTTTATGAACCAAAATGAAGTAGAAATAAGGAAATATGTTACTAAATAGGGCCCACATGTAGAAAAATGCTGTGGTCTTGTTCAAAAGGAAGCAAGCTTTGAAGTGGCTTAACTAGTAAGTATGAGTAGAACTATAATTCACAAAATTCCAGTATTAGAAAGTGAAGATAGCTATTTGTAATCCAGGGCAGGAACTGGGTCATCAGACCAGATTTTTATTCTGTTTTTCCTTGTCCTTGTATGTTTCTTCTGATAGTTTTATCTTCATCAAGCTCTGTCCGTCTCTCTGGGGATGGGAAGAGCTTTGCAAATGGGCTGATAGTTTGAGTTTGTGGAGAATAGTTCACTTCAGTACTGAGAGTTCACCTAGCTGACTGATGATTCACATTGTTTTAAAACCTTCTGTTTTCAAGGTTTCCTGGTGAGGCAGACTGTAATTAATATTTGTAGAAGAAAGAGGCTGGAGAGTGACTCCTACAGTCCACCACATGTCCGCCGGAAACAGAAAATCACTGACATTGTCAACAAGTACCGGAACAAGCAGTTGGAGCCAGAGTTTTATACTTCACTTTTCCAGGAGGTTGGACTCAAGAACTGTAGTTCTTAGACTCTTGAACTGTCTAGGATTCTTCAACTCCAGTTTGGGGCTATAATATCAAAGTAAAACAATTTGATAGGTGATCACTGTAAAGATAAAAACAAATCACTCCCCAAGAGCTTACTGTTTAATCACCAGAATAGAAGAAACACATTTAAACCCTTCTGATAGAAGACTTCCAGCTTTCTAGTGAAATGGGCTCCAGACACAATCATATTCCTTCTGGTAATGATGATATACATTTTAGCCATAAACTTTCTTTTAAAAGTGACAATTTTAGTTAAATCTGAGCCTTTTGAGGAGAAAGGCTTTTATGCATCTCAGTTAAACACTTGCATTGGTAGTATCAAATTTGCAAATTAGAAGTTGAAGATAATTTTATACCTCACTTTTTAGGAGGTTGTGTTCAAAATTAAAATCTGTCTCAGACTCTTCAGGACCTTTGAAGACTCAAGTTGATAGCATGGAGGAAAAGGAAAGAAATCTCAACTTTCTGCTCACTCATTAGATCCATTTGTCATCTGTCTGTCATCCAGCTGTCCAGCTGACAGAAAAGGACTTGTTTTTGGCTCAGATATGAAGTCTGGCATTAAAATCTTTCATATTTTCTCTCCACATTTCAAAAAGTTGTTATGCTCATTACTGCACAGACCTGTCTGAAAGCCTCGTTTCTGGGCAGCCCAGGAGCAGATCTAATATGGAGGCATGGCCCTGTCCTTTAATAGGGGGACAGAAGGAGTTTGTGGGGTTAGAAGTTGTAAGACAGCAGTGATGCCTCCACTCTCTCCAGTATTGTCTAGCTTGGTGACACAATGACAGGGTAAACGTTTGTAATTCCTTGGTAATTTCTTGGTTAAATAGTAAGAAATATAAATTCACAACAAGGGTTGAAAATTATTTGGTTTCATTCATTGTCTCTTATTTCAGGACCAAGCAGGAGACTGCAGTAGTTTATGAAGGATTCTAATTTGGGGTTCAGGAAATAGCCTCTCACCGCTACTAATTCAGATCTCTCCCAGAGAGCTACTGGATTTCATCACTGTTGACAAACATTAGTGACCACCTCCTTGGGTGGCTGCTGTGAAAAATGGCTATTGTTGTCATATTTTCTGGACTTTGCCAGCTGAAGGCACAACAAATCCCAGCCCGGGTTTTGGAAATACTTGTTACCTCGCTGCTACTTTTCTGCCAGGGATAAATGTTTTGAGGTGGCCAGACCCAGAACATCGTTACAAGGATTCCTGTTACAGCTCTAGAGTAGACACTGCTTATTTCTCTTATTCTTATGCACTTTCCTCTTTATTAAGATCATTTTATGTTAAGAAAATAAGTGACATTTAAAGTCCAAAAAGGAGTGATCACAGTTGTATTAGGGGTGATTTCTCACCTGAAGTCTGTTATCAATAGATTCTGTAGGTTAGGGATGCATTGGTCTGTTTGGTTTGATGTTTTGGTAATTAGGGGGCAGAGGATAGTGTGTAGGGCCTAATTCCCTGTGCAGATACTTCTGTTTCAGAAGTACGTATTTTGTCATGTATGAGCAAGAAATGTGGGCATAGCGGCTCCTGGTTTTAAGTTTGCTATACTTTTTTCTTCATGTTTGTTTTAAGCTCAGGTAAAACCTATGACTCCATTTTCCATTCAGGGTATGATGTTATTCAGTAATTGATTTTCTTTGTAATCTGGGCAATAAATTGATGTTTCCAGGTGGCAGCATGGAGGAGGGGTATGTATGATAAAGTTTAGGAAGTTCTACTCTAAAAATGTTTTAGTAGCTCAGCAGATATAAGGCGAGGTTTAACAGTTTTCATGGAAGTTCCAGATTGACCGTTCAAGGGGAAAATGGGCCCTTGTTCTAGTGGTTGTGAACAAAGAAGACTATAAATTAATGTGCAACTTATAACATTCCAGAGGTTAAAAATAGCTGATGTAGGTGTACTGCCTCAGTGAGATTTTTCAGATAAACCTTTTACCTTTGGCTTAGTTTTACTACTGTCAGCAAAATGTACTGTGGTGTGCATGTTGCAGGTAGGCTTCCTGATCCTGTAGTTTGCTATAATTTCTGGCAACTCCTTGTAATTCGAATGGCTTTGATAAGTGAACATCTGTGTTGAATGGAATTTGTGACCTGAAAGATCTAGTGGTCTCCCAGGGAAGGAGGGATGGATTCAGGACTATGAAGTCCAGTATGTAAGGCACAAACAGTACGAGGTACGTGACCTCGTCAGGTGCTGGTTCCTTCTGTTCAAAATAACATCTGCTTTAAAAGGAGGTGTGATAAGAGCCTTGCACCTTTCACTAGAATTACGGGTTTGAGTTCATGGTCACTAAGGTCACCTACCTGCCTTTGTTAAAGTCACTTTGAGTAGAATAATGGCAGAGGAGCATATTTAGTCCCTAGTAACGGTTTTTAGAAGTCCACTTTATAAGCTTGCTAGTGTGCACTCATAACCTTTGGAGGGAAGCCGGGACCGCTTGGGCCTGTGGCCTAGGCAGTTTAGTTGCTGTATGTGACAGGTGCACCGGGAGGTGGATGAGCGTGGCATTCATGACAAGAAAAGCATTACCCAAGGGACAGAGTCAGGTAGTCCCTCATCCTTCTAGCTTGCGCTTGGTGATGGAGGCTTTCCTCTCCCTCTCTCTGGAAGCACTGAGGACAGTAACAGGGCTTTTGCCTTTTTAACCCTTTCCTTGTTCAGCCAACTTTCCCTTTTGTTCAGTGCTTCCCCCTAAGTGCCCCCTTCTCCTGCCCATTGGCTGTTTGACAGGAATAGTTACGTTGTGGGTTGACACTACTCAGACACACACTCAAACACACACATACACTCACACACGCACACACACACACGTGCGTGCACACACACACACGCATCCATGCTGCTCACCATTTCCAGGTCCTCTACTTCAGGGCAACCCATTCTCCTCTGGCCTCATAAATACGAAAACCTATAGCTTTGGCCAGTAATGTCGCGAGGTCTTCACAAACGGTTACTTCTACGTGCACGGAGGAACTCTGTCAGGTTCTGCAGACTGCTATTTAAAAAGGCAGAGTCTTCAAGAGTATTTATTTTTACTGGCAGGTGAACTTTACCCAAAGTGGGAGTCAGCATTGCTCAAAGGCTTGGTTTGTAAAAAGTAGATGGTAAAAGGTGTAATAGAGATAATTTGACACTCCTGCTGGCAGTAGTTCTCCATTCAGCATTTAAAAACCCATTCAGGTTATATCTTCCTTAAAAAATGGTTCATATGTTTACATGAAATGATAAGTTGCATTAGATGGTCTGTTTTAAGGATTTCCATGACAGCCTCTTTTCCTGAGACAGAGAGATTGGAGGTAGTCCACCCGCTCAATGTGGAAGCAAACGGGGGTTCTTTTCTTGGTAGCTAAAGAAGCCATGTACTTACTGTATAGTGTTTTTCTCAAGAGTATCAACTCATGTTCTCCAGATGCTTTTCTTTTTTTATAATGGTGAGGGAAGAGGTATAATTTGGGATTCCACAGTGCCTTGCATATAGTAGGCGCCCAATAAATATTTGTTGAAGCAAACCAAGTTTCCCAAGTCCTTGTCTCTTGCAGTGACCAAGAACATCTTTCTCCTCCGAAGGGCTTGGCAGTTGTGGCTAAAAGATAAGCAGTATCATTATTTGCTTGAAACCATATATACAATTTGTATGAATTTCAATATGTTGCCAAGACATGACCTTTTTCTTATTGTATTTTCTGTAAATATTTCTGGCTCTGAACTGTAAAGTAAAGGCGAAATGTAAATATGAAGGCGCCGTGTCCCTCGCCTCCTGTGTTTTCTCTTCGTTGGTTAGGGAAGAAGGCCCAGAGGCTTGTTTGTATTTATGCCGATCCTTTGTCCAGAAGAAACCCATGGAATATTGAATGTAATACATTTAGTCAATTAAATTTTAAGGAGATTCTTATCTACTAACGTCGTGTGTGCTTTTGGTCCTAGGCCGGGGTTTGACTCCTGTGTGGGTGTTCTAACTTACTCTTTCCAATATTAGATCTGTGCGGTTTCCTCCTGGTTTGGGGGAGTCTCATCAAGTATTCAGACTTGGTCAAAGTATTTGGCTTCTGCGCTGGAAGGATCTTGTATAATGAAGTCCCTGCCAGCAGAGGCCACATCCCAGGAGCAGCAGTCCCGAGACACACGGAACCCACTGTGCTCTCTGCCCACAGAGGACTGAGCTCTGCCAAGCTGGCCAGTCAGGAAAGTGGGGGAGGTTTGGCTGCAGAGGGTTCCATGGGGCCAGATTAGCATCTTAATGCCTAGATGACACATGGGTGGTCATGCTGCCCGAGGTGGAGATGGGTGCCTTTGCCTAGAGCCGCCCTTTCCAGCCTATCACTGATTCCATGTGAAGTTAGTGTGCGGCCCCTGGACTGTGCCAGGGAGCCACCTCCCTGCAGTTGTGTCCACACCTGCCCACCCCAGGACCTCCAGCCAGCCCTGGGGGCCTGGGAGGCTTCTCTCTGGGCTGGCGGCACAGTGGCCCTGTTTTGGGATCTGACAAGAAAATGTGTGTGTGAGCCCTTTTCACCTGGCTGTCCTGCTCTCTCTGACCCCAGGCCCTTCAGGACCCGGTGCCAAGAAATCACTCCCAACCCAGCCCACCTAGTTTCTGGTCTTGAACTCTGGGTCTTGAGTGGCACAGCCCATCAAGGCACTGCTTCTTGGACACGCATTCTAATACCATCTGCCCAGACTTCCTCTGAGGACTCTAGTTGTCCCACATCTGGGCTAAGACTCCCTTTAAACACACTGGCCCTCCAAGCCCCAGCTCTCCCCTCTCTTCCCTCCTCTCTAGCTATCTAGCTATCTATTTAAGTAATCCTCACCTGAGGACATGTTTAGAGGAAGGGGGGGAGAGAGAGAGAGAGAGAAACATCGATGTGAGAGAGAAACGTCGATGAGTGGTACATGCCCTAACCAAGGATGGAACCGACAGTCCAGGTATGTGCCCTGACAGGGAATCGAACTGGCAACCTTTTGGTGCACAGGACAATGCTCCACCAACCGAGCCACTCTGGCCGGGCTCCCCTCCCTTGTTTGTATTGTGGCTGGCCCTCTTGCCCTTCTCCCCAGGCTGGTGGCTTCCTAGAAGGGGGTCCTTTCAACCCATGTCTCCTTCTAGGTCTCCCACCCACTTTGTGCAGCTGCTCCCCCAGCCTGGAACTGGGTCTGCCCAGCTTTCCAACCTGTGCTCCGTGAAATGCTGTGGTCTCGAAATCAAGTCTGCAACAGAATGGTTGCCCATTAATGTGTTGAGTCCCGAGCCTCAGCCCCTGGAGGTTCTGACTTAGTAGAACAGGGTGAACATGGGAATCAGCGTGTTTCCCAAGTATCCTGCACCCCCCACCCACCTGCTGGCAGTGACAGGCAGGTGGTCCAAGGACCCTCTTAGAGAACACCGTGCTGCTGCCTCCCTCCCACACAGCAGCCACTTGTGTTGACCTCCTGCACCCACCAGGCTCCAGCTCAGGGACTATCAGGCTCTGCGAGTTCCGGAGCCTCCTGCCCCAGGGCCTGGCACGTGGAGGTTCACTTCATGAATGAATGAGTGAATGAGGGGGGTGGGAGGAGGTAAGAATGGCATTTGAGAGTATTCTGCCCACTTGGGAGATGAAGGAACAAGGTTAAAGCCTTAGAAGCTCCTCACTGAACTCCCTAATAAGGAGAGGTGCCAAAGCTTCCTGATTAAATAGGAGGGCCTACTATTTGTTAGAAAGTTTTCAAGTGTCAGCCTAGTGACCCAATCTGGCCCACCAGACTTGTTTTGTTTAGCCAACAGTATTTTAATGTTTGATTCAGTATTTTTAAATTGGCAGATTTCACATAAAAACTCCGATGCTTTGGCTGTCTTGGAAGTCAGAAGAGCTGGCTGTACTGGACCTGCACTTCCCACACATCAGTTCCTGGGACAGCTGTCTGCTTTATAGGCTCTACGCTCCATCCGGTTTGCAGTCCCCACCACTCCCACAAAGTGTAAGTGTGGGCACATGGAGCCTGAATTTTGGGACCAGGGACCTAGCTGGCTCCTAGAGGATTCTGTGACCTCAAATATATGAACACCCACCTGTGGGCAGTGCTTATCCCAGCATTTGCTTTTCTAACTTTTAGCAGCTTGGTGAGGAAAGAATTATTCCCATCCTACAAGAGGATCCCGGAGGTGGCACATGAACCCAACAGCAACTTAGCAGGGATTCAAACCCAGGCCTGCCCGGGCTTACTCTCACTGCCCCGGCTCCTGACCATTCATCCAAATAGCTCTCCCTTCCCTGAAGGACACTGTAACTTCCTTGTTACGTCACCAGCTCAGTCACAATTGGTTTGAGAGCAGAGCATGGCCCAGCCTACCAGATCCCCAGGGCAGCCCTGCCAGCCCAGCTCAGGCTGGCCCGGCTTGGCCTCACATGCACCATGAAGTACCCTCTGGTGCCGCTGGTGAACGACCTCACGTTCTCTTTCCTGGTGTTCTGGCTCGGCCTGCCCGTGGCCTTGCTGTTGTTCTTATTGATCGTCTGGTTTCGCTTCTTACTTAGCCAAGGTGAGCCACCCAGGCTGGGCCCTAATCCTGGAGCTGGGCAGGGGTCTGGAAACCACTGCGGAGAGAGGAGCTTCTTTGGGGGCATTTTCACTGCTGGCTCAGAGCCGACAAGTGGTCACCTGAAAGAGAAAATGACTAATTTGGTGGTTTCGTTTCTTAGAGTCCAAGGGTAAATCCCTGAGTTCGGCCGGGAAGCAGTATGTGTGTGTGTCTGTGTCCCCTCAGGGCCACGGCTGGCATGTAAGGTCTTTGGTGCTAGCCACGGCCCTCAGAAAGTGGTGACCCCTCTGGGCAGATGAATTAGTAGAAGGTGTCCCTTCCTGTGAGTGCAGCCAGGGCACAGGCTCTGAGAGCAGAGCTAGGCTGGATTTCAGTCCCTCTCACCCTTCAGCTCAGTGCTCTTGTGCAGTAAACACTGCACAGTGGGAGGTGGCAGCCTTAGGCATTTATCAGGGGCCAGTGACCACTCACCCTTTCCCCTGGACCATACATCAGGGAGGACCCCAGTTTCTCTGGAACATAGGGTCCTGAGCGCAGCATGCTGGGGTGGAGCTGGCCCCTGGAAGCTGGGGGTGGGCAGGGATGCAGTTTGGCCACGTGGCAGGAATGACACCCTGCCCGTCCTGTCTCCCTGGGCTCTTCCTCGGGACAGCTTGACCTCCCACCTCCTGCTCCTCAGCCCCATGAACTTTGGCCAACTGGGCAAGCAGGGAGGGCACTGAGTGTGCTGTCACCTCTGGTCAGATGGCATTGAGACGGGGTGAGGAGTTCACCCCCTAAACTACCCCATGATTTCAAATGTGGGGGTCATGGTGTAAATATTGGGAGCTCCTGGTGAGAGCTTTTAGAGTATGATCTCCTCATTCCCAGGATACACCGTGGCCCTCGGGCATCAGGCAGTGGCTGGTGGAGTCAGCACATGTGTCTGTGTAGTGGATATAACAGCCGTCGGTCTGGAGTCTAGGGGATGTGGGCCCAGATTCCAGCTTTGCCCCTCAACAGTTCATAATGACAGCTGGGCTTTTCTGAACCTGTGCACTAGGACTTGTGCTCAGTACCTGATGCGTAATGTTTCATTTAACCCCAGAATAACCCTGTGAAGTAGTCCTTACTGTACGACTGAGGAAACTGAGGCTTGAGAGAGAAGCCACCTGCCCGAGGTCACACACCGAGGGAGTAGTTAAAACTCTGGCACCTACCAGCTGTGTAGCCCTGGACAAGCCCTCCCCAAGTCTTGGTTTTCTCATCTACAAAATGGAGATAATAATGGTCCCTGCCCTTTTGGAGAGATGCACAGCAAGGGCGGGCACACAGCACAGGTACACATAGTAGGTGCTTGCAGGCTGAGAAATGATCTAGTCCATATTGGTTTTGTCAGGGTAGGAGGAAGAATAGCAGTGGCTTTGAGTGGCATCTCTGGAAGGGGAAGGTACATCTTCCCTGAGGTCTAACGCTCTGATTTCCTCCAATTCATTCTCCTTGGAGGCCCTGCTTGAAAGCTACCTGCACCTGCCCTGCCCCACCCCTTCTCCCCTTTCTCCTGAGAGGCAGTTTACCTGCTGACATCTCACCTGGAACAACCAATAAATAAATTCTTTTTGTTAATTTTTTTGGTTAATCCTCACCTGAGGATATTTTTTTCATTGAGTCTTAGAGTGGAAGGGAGGAGGGAGAGGGAGAGAGAGAGAGAAACATCGATGTGAAAGAGAGAGACATCAATTGGTTGCCTCCCAAACGTGCCCCAACCAGGATTGAACCTGCAACCCAGGTACATGCCCTTGACTGGGAATCGAACCTGCAGCCCTTCAGTGCACAAGCCAACGCTCTAATCACTGAGCCACGCCGGCCAGGGTTCTTTTGTTATTTCTGGAATGAACAGAAACTGTCCTTAAAGTGAGTGAGTGGCCCTTCTTCACCGTCTCTGTCTTCCTGGAACTCTCAGTATTACTGCGTCTGTTCTGTCCTTGTGCTGGGAACTGGTCCAAATCCAGGGTCTGGGCCTGCCGGGCTTTGGTGGGGGCTGGGGTTTGCAAGACCCTCCTCTGTGGTTTAATATCTGTTGTGGATCTCTTTATTGGAGTCATTTCGGTCTGGAATCCAGTGGAAAGCATACAAGAGTAGCTCTGATTCCCCTCCACCCCTGCCTGGCCAGGCTCCACGGGGCAGTTTCAGGGCACAGGAGGCAAGGGTTGAGCAACATACCTCGTGGCCAATGTGGCCAAGGAGTATGCAATTTCCCCAGTCGAGGGGGAAGCAAGTGGGCGGAGAGAAGGAAGCTTTCTGGTGAGCCCTGGGAAGCTGGCCATGGGGACAGCATTAACCCCCTGCTGTTATATAGCGAGAGAGGACCAAGCCAGGCGTGTCCTTCAAGGGGAAGACCCTGAAATTTGCAGAAAGAAGAGGGGAGACCTCCAAGTAAATGGACTTAGGGCTAAAACAGAAATGGGCACTATAGGCTATGCCTGTTGAGGGTCCTGACCGCTCCTCAAGCTGGTCCTTGGAGTGAGTTGTTAATTTCGAAGCTGCCTTTGAGGTCCCCGACCTCAAACAGGTGCACCCAATGGAACACGTGGCACCTAGTACAGGAGGCACATTTGAGTCCAGCAGGACCACTTCCTGGCTGTGAGCCTTCCCCATTGTAGAATATGAAGAACATCGGTAATTGCCTCAGGGAGTCATTAAGAGGGTTAAATGAGAAGAGGTATGTAAAACACGTAGCACATAGTACGCGTTCAGAAAATAATCGCCATATCTAGTGAAGATCAGCCACTTCAAGCTATGGCGCTGATTTTTAACTGATAACTGCCAACACTATTGAATGCCCGTTTTACAAACCTCACTTCAGTTAACCCTCATTATAGAAGAGGCTATTGTTGTGCCCATTTTACAGATGAGGACAATGAGGCTCAGTCTTTTCTAACGTCGGCTCTTGGTCTGCAATCTGAGGGCCTTTTTCAGCCTTCTTTACTTCTTTGCAGCTGGTGAAGTAAGAGTATATGTAGTAAGAAAAATAACAACCTCCTCGGCTCTCTCGCCTTTCTCCCCTTGCCTCCCAAGGTAAGCCATGTGAGCAAGCTCATGCACCTATTTAATGACACCTGCAGGTTTAAAATAAATGGAGGAGGGAGTATTCTTTGTTTTCCTATTAAAAAAGGGGGGGGAGGGAATTCTACACATAGATTCCTCTGAAGTTTGCTTGAAACACATAGACATCCTGCAAGCAGAAAGGTACAGACCCAATGCAGTTACTGTAATAACTTCATGACCTGCCACCGGATGGACAGGTGGGCCTCCATTAGGTGTGACTGTGCCACACTTTGACCAACTGGAACTCTCACGGTGGACGTGCACACACATGGTTTCTAGGGTGCTTTGTTGTGTGTGTGTATTTTACCACAAAACGGCTGCAATGGAAATCATTGTACCTATATACTCAGATATTTGTGAATGAATGGACTGGTGGACAAATGGATGGTTGGGTTCATGTCTCCTCCGTGCCTGCTTCTGGACCGCACCCAATGCAGGTAGGCCATTTGCTCATCTTAGGGTCCTTCCCTGTTTAGTAGTGGACAGGGCCTCTTGGTGAGTTACAGAGCAACCTTTTTGATCCCTGGTCACCATTCCAGGCCCTGAAGTCTTCCCGGGGTCTCAGGGCTGGCCCCCTGGCCTCAGACAAGGCTGCAGGGATGCCCAGGCCTGGCAGGGGGCTCCTTGTGGATCAGGGATAGGAGACAGGATGTGACCATCCAAGAAGCTTTGTCTTACTCCTCCACAGATTCAGAGGAAAATGAGTCGGATTTGTGCTTTGACTGGGAGCCATGGAGCAAAGGCCCAGCCGAGTGGGACAGTACACTCCAGAGCCAAGAGGAGGAGAGGCCCGGCCAGTGAGCCTGTTCTGCCAGGTGAGGCCCTTTTTGGGAGATGGTGGGGAGAGAAGGGGGAGGGCGGCCTCAGAGACTGTCCACAGCCTCGGGCAGCTGCCAGATGGACAGCTGACTCCCTCCGCCATTGCAAAGCTTGCCATCTCTGCCGCGTCGGAGAACCTTCTGCCTCATTGTGTGGGAGACCTGTTCTTGCCATGTGGGAGCCACCTTACAAAGGTCCCCCACCCTTTGCTTCTTGGCCTCACCTCCTGCAACTCTCCCTGGGGGCTTTGCCCTGGCTGTTGCCTCCGCCTGGAACTCTTCTCCCCTAGACATCCATGTGGTGCACTCCCTCACTTCTGAGGTTTTGCTCAAATTCTCTCTCTCAGCAGGGTCCCCCCGACTTCCCTCCTTATTACGGACATCTCTCCCACCTTCACGGCCCCCCTGCTCTGCTTTCCCTTATCTTTTGCCACAGTGGGGGCTCAATGGATGTTTGTAGGAGGGATAAAATAATACTGATAATAATGCCAGCTGACACTCCTTGGGTACCAGGCCTGTGCTGAGCATTTCCCTCTCACAAGTGCATTTATGAAAGCCCACAAGGAGGATGGTATCCTGGTGTCCATTTTACAGTCGAGGATGCAGAGCGGCAGTGCCGCAGGTAACGTGCCCAGCGTGAAGGAGCCCCGCAGCTGTGCACACCCAGGCGGCCTCATCCAATCCAATGGGGCTAAATGCCATCTCCCCGCCAGGGACCCCCAAATGTGTGTATCTCGCCTAGTCTTCCTTCTGAGGATGGGATGGTTTATTCCCTTTGCTAAACCCAACAAAGCAAAACACAACACGTGACCTGCTAACTTCTCTCCATCGCCATGAACAGCACTCCCATTGCTGGTCTGGCTGCACGAGCCCCATGTTGGGGGTCAGCCTCATGGCTCTCTTTGCCTCCCACCCCACATGCAGTCCCGCCCCATCCTCCATCTCTTTCATCATCTCTCTCTTCCCCTGGCCATCAGGGCCTGCCCTCCTCCGAAGTCTGCCCCTGCAACATGTCACTACCCCCTGCTCTGCCCCATGGGTCACAACTTGGAGCCCCTGCCAGTCCGAGTGGAGGAAGGAGGTGGGGCTGAGAAGCACGGGCCCTGACGTGCCCTCAGTTACAGTGATTCTTAGCCTTCCCAGGTCACGACCTTGATAGTTGAGGCCCCTTTCCCCACAGTCCTGTGCATGGGGCCAACTTCACAGGGCGTGACTTGTGTGGGCACATGAGGTCCCATGTTCAGCAGAGCTCATCTTGGTATAATACTAGGCTGTTACTGTCTTGAAATTTTTAATAATTTGTAACAAGGAGCCCATGTGCTCATTATTCATGAGCCCCACAAATTATGTAGCCTGTCTTGCTTGCATACAGTTAGTGGGGTAAGAAAAGGAGATAGTCAAACTCTGCTTGGGGACCCTGTCCATTTACACAGAGCACTTCCCCCCCCCCCCCCGCCCCAATATCTGTCCCTCTCTCACTCTCATTCCATTGTCATCCCTAGACCCAACCTGCCAGTTGCTCCCAGCTTGGTTTTCCTGGAGTCCGCTGGGCAGTGGCAATGGCCAAAGTGGATGGGAGAGACTCGCCAAGGAGGGGAGAGGACTTCAGCGACTGAGGCACTTTTCTGGGACGCCCACCTCGTTCCCTCCAAAGTCTCCGGAGGACCCCCAGGTCTCGGGGAAGAGCCCGCAGCTGTGAAGACGGTATAAGCAGTCACACGGGGAAGTTAGCCAAATGAATTGAGAAGAGGTCCTCGGGCAGGGCTGGGCCTGAGCGTGTGGGTCCATATTAAAGGCAACAGGGGCTGCCTGAGCTCAGGAGACCCTGATGCGTGTTCTGGGCCTGACCAAGTCCATTCATTCACAAGCTGTGGGGCCTGGGCCTCCCTGGCCCCGACCTGGGCCTCCTGACCCCATTTGGGAACCCGGACCCTCCTTCCCGTCTGTTCAAAGGGCTGGGGGGATCTTGCTCTGAACCTCCATTGTCTCATTTCAGACTCACTCCTCAGTTAGCCTTCAGGCTGATTTTAACAACGTTGAATCGCAATGGTGGAGTTGGGATGTGAACCTGAGCCCTGCGGCTCCAGAGCTGGCCCTGGCACACTGGGCCGATGGTTCACCAGGTTGGATTGTTGGGGGCAGTCATGGGGAGGCACTTGGAAGAAATCCCAATCTGTCCTTGTACCCCCACCAGCCCCCCAGAGGCAGCAGAGTGGGTGGGCTGTAGAGGGGACAGGCCTTCCCGAGTCTCACCTTTGTCCCCTCTTTCCCTCTCGTCACACATTCCATCAGCCACCGCAAGCAGAAAGAAGGGAGCCTGAATTATTGGCTGGTCTCCCGGAGTTGGGTCTCCCCTGCTCTGCCCTTGCTGCCCGTTAGTCTGAACAATCCATCCAAAGCACAGATCCAGACACGCCATCGTCTCCCTGTGTAGGGCCCTCTGAAGCTCCCTACGGCTCTGGGCTAGAGCCAGGTTCCTGGTGTGGTGGGGAGCCGCCCTTTGGGATCTGAGCCACCGCATTTGCTGGGTGAGGTTTCTGTGCTCACCAGCAAGGCTGCCGTGAATGCCCTTGAACTTCTATCTTTGCACACAAGTGTGCTGCTGTCTGAAAGGAGGATAAATTCGGAAAGGAGGACTTGTTGAATATAATATCTGTGCCTTTACAGTTTGCAGATACTGCGAAGTTGTCTTACCAAAAGGTGGCACCGAAAGTGTGTACAAAAGTGCCTGTTTCTCCTGGCCTCTGGCCCATGAACACCCCCTAAATCAGTGGTCGCCAACCGGTTGTCCACGGACCACTGGTGGTCCCTGAGGTCTGAAAGGTTGGCGATCGCTGCCCTAAATAACACCCTTACACACACCCACACTCACCACACTCACACACTCACACACACACACTCATACACACTCTCACACACACACACTCACACACACACACCCCTCTCTCTACACACGCTTTGTTCTGGCTGTGTTCTGGCTGATGAGCTTTGTCGCTGTTTTGCTGGGAGCTTTCCTGGTGTTGAATAAACACTTTTGATAACAAACCTCCCCTGTGGCTGAAGCTTCCTCCTGGCTTGTCTGGCATTTTCTCCAACCACCCTGCTCCCTGTCAGCCACTGCCCTCCCCCTCCCCCCATTGGCCATTGTTCAGCCTCCGTGCTGACCTAGAAAAGCCAGGTGAGTCACCCCACACCCCACCCCCTGACCCTCCAGCCACTTTGGAGGAGCCAGAGGAGCCTTGGGGGCTCAGACCCCAAGGAGGAGCTGGCACAGCTGGTCCTGCAGGACATCTGGTCGCACTCCTGGGATCACCCAGCAGCAGGCAGGGGCCACAGCTCCTCAGGGCCACTGGCAGGTAAGTGGTGAGGGCTGTGAGGAGATGCCCTCCTGCTTTGAGTGGGGGCTGAGACCCTGGGTGTGGATTGGGGCCGCCTTCCTGGCATTTTGTCCTGTGAGGCAGGAGACGTGTGTGTCTGACAAACACACCTGTGACCTAGTGATAGCCCCCCCCCCACCCCCAGAGGCATCGTCCCCATCTTAGCAGCCCGCTGAGTGCCTGCCCAGTGCTGAGTGCTTCCCATGTGTTCTCTTACTTGCTCTTCATCACAGCCTCTGGGGTGGGTCGCAGTAACATTTTCAGATGAGGAAACTCAGGGTCATGGCGGTTAAGTCACTGGCCCCGAGTCGCAGAGCCTGGAAGTGGCCTATTTTCCGGACTCTTAACTGAGACGCGTTTCCCGGGATCCACACAATACCCCGGGCTCTTCCTGGACTGAACCGTGCAGCTTCCCGTTGTGCTGTTGATGTTTGTAAAAATACGAGGAAACTCAGAACAATAGTGTGTGTGTCTCCCCAGCCCCAAGAGCTCGGGGATCTGAGAGGACAGTCCCAGGGTGAGGTGGGGACACTGCTGGGGTCGGCAGAGACACGGGCTCCATTTCCGCCCTGAGCCCCTCACCCTCGCACCACCATCCCCTCAGGCCTCGTGTCACCATCAGTAACATGGGACCGTCTCCTCTGTATTTGCTTCCTGTGGCCATCACTCACAAAAGTACCACAAATGGGGCAGCTGAGAGGGGGGATGTCGAGTCTCCAGGTCTAGGAGCTGAAAGTCCAGAATCAGGGTGCAGGTTAGGCGGGGCTCCCCCTGTGCTGGGAAGGGGAGAACCTTCCTTGTCTCCCCCAGCTGCTGGCAGCGCCATCCTCACGGGTCTCCCTGTGTGTCACGCCGTCTTCCTCTGTGCATGCTGTGTCCCAGTCCCCTTTTCATAAGGACCAGTCATTGGATCAGGGCCCTCCCTGAGGACTGCATTTGAACTTGATTACCTCTGTCAAAACCCTACTTCCAAATGTCATGTTCTGAGGTCCGGGGGTTAGGATGTCCACGGCTAATCCTGGCAGGACACAGGTCCACCCCCAACACCCTCTGTGAGGACGACTGTGGGAACACACGCAGAGCTCTGAGCACAGTGCTTGGCTGGCGCTTTATAATGCTCCATGAATTGTTGCCAAAAGCAAAAAGCTGAGCAACCTGGACATACAATGCTTGGTGTACATCATGTGCCAGGCACAGACTGGGCATGCATTATCCCTCTGATCCTAACAACTACCCCTAGTGGTAGGTAGGCAAGGTTTGCATTGAAATGATGAAGCTGGGACTCAGAGAGGTTAAGGCACTTGCCTGAAGTCACACAGCCCAAATGGCAGAGCTGAGGATGAATTCCAGGCCTATGAGACTCCACTACATCACACAGGGTAGGAGAGCACTATAGTGGGGAGTGGGAGCTGCTCAGAGGGGTAGAAAGGCAGGGAGGGAGTGCTGAGCACATAGCACGTGATCCCGGGGAGCCTCCTGGGTCAGAGGGGCAGGGAATGCTCTTGATGATGGGGAGTGGGTGGGCTGGATCACAGGCTGCCTGGCGAGGTGCTGGCAGGTGGCCAGGTGCAGGGCCGCCATGTCTGAGTCACTCCACTGCGACCTAACCGGCCCAGCCGATACTCCAGGGCTGGGACCCGGCCCGCCGGGGCTGAGGAATGTTGCCCAGAGCATGGACACACTTCACTTCATTCTCAGTGCACACAGCTCTCCAGGAAGCCAAGAGGTGGTGCTTCCTTTAAGAAGCTTGAAAGTGCAGTTTAGTCAAGATTCAGGCTACTCTCTCTTCCTCTTGCTTTCTTTCCAAGGGTTCCCTACACCTGAAGGAAGTGATGTTAGGTTTTCTATGCTGGACTAGAAGTTCATTTATTCAGGTACTAACATATTGACTTATTCAAGCCTCTATCTATTCATTCATTTACTTATCCACTCATTCACCTAATGGTTCACTGATTCATTCATTCATTCATTCATTCATTCATTCATTCATTCATTTACTCAAGTACTCATGCTCTCACATTCATGTACACAGCCATTCACTCTTCCACCTATCATCAATCCATCCATCCATCATCCATGTAGCCATCATCTATCCATCCATCACCCATCCATCAATCATTCATCCATCCATCCATCCATCCATCCATCCAACCTATGTTAAGCACCTACCATGTTTTCCACACAAAGCTTCTCATGCCTCCCAAACTACTTTTTCATCCACTTTTACTGCTATTTCCACTTACATATTTGGAGGGAGGACCTCTGCGCCAATGGGACCCCAGACACTTGGCCTCCTGGTGGTGTGGTTTCAGGATCTCCTCCTCAGGAAAGGCGTGGGAGAAGTGGACAGCCAGTCATCTGTACAGTCCCAGTCTGCACATGAGAGCAGTGATGGCCGCCTGAGACTCAGGCTCCTAAAGGCCCCTGCCCATCGTTTGGTGCCAAAACTATGCATATTCCTGGGCGCTGTCGCTCCGGTGGGGCGATGTCCAGTTATTGGGCTCCATTTCTTGCTCCCCCCAGGCCAGAGCAGACCACAGTGACCCGTGGCTTTAGGCCCCTCCTAAGGAGCACCCTTGGGCTGCTCTTCTTAAAGGCAAGTATGCCGAGGGAAGGGCAGCAAGGCGGTGGGTGGAGGGGTGGATCATGGCATTCTGTCCTGGCCAGAGAGTAAGGGGAGGGGCTCCTGGCCCATACAGATTCGGAGGAAGGACAGAAGCCAGGGAAGCCAGAGGGAATGTCCCTTCCTCATCCCTACTTCACATTCAGGGCTAAAGGCCAGTTCCCAGGGGGGCTCTTCTGACCCCCACAGCTGGCCACTTGTGTTTCCTCCTCCCTTAGCATCCTTCCTTCTCCCACCCAAGCCCTGCCCTTTCTCACCCCCCAACACATTCCTGCCTGCTTGCTTTTCTGTTTCCTGGCAAAGTCCCCATCCCCATTTCACAGAGGAGGAGGCCAAGGCTGGGAGAAGGTGGGAGACCGCTCACAGTCACGGAGGGTGTGGCCACTTGGGGGAAGCCCCCCGGGTCAGGGATGCTTTTCCTGTTGACATTAGTCAGGTCTTTTATTTATTTATTTCAAATTTTTTTTTATGGATTTCCGAGAGAGAGAGAGAGAGAGAGAGAGAGAAACATCAATGATGAGAGAGAATCATTGATTGGCTGCCTTCTGCAAGCCCCACACTGGATATAGAGCTCGCAACCCGGGCATGTGCCCTGACTGGGAATCAAACCCTGACCTCCTGATTCATAGGTCGACGCTCAACCACTGAGCCAAGCCAACCGGACAGTCTGGTCTTTTATTAATGCAGTTTTACCTACAATGAAAGGCCTGTGGGTAAGAAAAATGGCACTATAAATTATATTTTATGGCTGTTTTTCAAAGGTGCCATTTCCACTTGACCATAGTGCAGGCAGGTGGGCAGGGCTCAGGGGTGTGTGTGTGTAGGTGGCCCTGGCTGAGCCAGCCCCACCTGGGAGGAGGTTGGACCTCTGCCCCGGTGAGGGGGTGTCTGGGAACTGGGCGAGCAGCCTCTCTCCTGCTCACATCGCTGCCTGAGTCAGCCCCACAGCAACGGCCGCGGCAGCGGCAGCAGCAGCGCAGAGGCACCTGTGAGCTGTGAGGTGCCAGCTCATGGCAGAGCCTGCCCTTCTCCCCACCGCCCAGATGGGGAGGCTGGCCCCCGTGTCCCTGGCCTCACCGTGTCCCAGGATCCCACGGGCTCACATCGCCAGGCGGCCGGGGCGCTGTGCCCAGCGTCAGACTGACCTGGGCTGCAGGTACAGGAATCACAGGAGGAGATGGGGGAGGTTTGGGCTACTGGTGTCTCAGGGCCAAGGCTGAGGAATGAGGGGACCAAATTGAAAACCTACCATGTGCCGGGGGTGTAGGTCATTTCAGTTCTTACATCACCCCTCTGAAGCAAGAATCCCTCTCCCTTCCTACAGATGAGGAAACATGCTCTGAGAGGTCTAGGAAATGGCCCAAGTGGTGTGGGGAGACGGTATATGGGACCCCAAGCCCAGACCCTTCCTGGGACACAACACTGGCCTGGGCTCCTGCTGCTGGCTCCTGCAGGGGACACTGATTTTCGGCTTCTTAGAGATGTGAGTGATGCTCAATATGTGCTGTTTCCCCTTTTTCTGAATGTAGAGAGCTTTAGGCACCCCAGGGGTTGTTTGGGGTTCAAGGTTCAGGATCTTAAGCTATGAGATCTCAGCTGGATGAGTGTGGCTGTGTGGTCACCTGGCTGACAGCTGTGTCACTCTTCCTGCTCAGGTACCTCTGACAGCCAGACCAGGATTTTTTAAGTCATTTCTCCCCATGTGTGCTTATAGCATATCACAAAATGAATATTATAGAAATTCCAACAGTGCAGACAGAAATGTGCCTATTCCCCAGCACTGACTGCTGTTAAAGTTTTGGCATATACCTGGGAGAGCCTTTTGACGTACGTGAACCTATCCCTGTAGAGTTCTACACAAATGAGACCATGCCCACCCTTAATTTCTTAGTTCCTTGTAATCCCCAAGGCCATTAATATTGAATTCACTATAAGAGTATCTGACCCATTGAATGTGCTCAGTACTTACTGGATGAATGAACAAATGAATTTTGTTGCATTCCCTTTGTTACTTTAAACAAAACAAGAAAAATAACACTCTGACTTCCA